GTGCACAGAGGCCCGCTGCCCCTTCTCCCTCCAAGGGGGCGTGAAGAGACGTGCCAGCAGCAGCTGTCCGCAGTCGCTTCTGGGAGCGGCATGGGGCCACAGCATGCAGGGAGCCTGCCTGAGCCCTGCTGCACCATTGGCTCGGACCGACCTGTGTTAAGCGCCTCCTGGCCAAAGCCTGCACCTCGCACCCCCTCCCACACCCCAACCTCCTGCTCCAGGTCGGAACCCCCTCCTGCGCCTGAGCTCCCTCCTGCCCCCAAACTCCCTCCCAGGCCCTGCATCCTCTCCATTAATATAGTAGAAATGTGCAGCCCATGGTGACTTATCAAAATTCGTGGAGTGTCCCCCTCTACAAAAATTATTGCCTACTCCTGGCTTACGCAAACACTATGCACCACTTAAGTCTCAGCTAAACCCTTAAAATGGGGTATGGATGTTTCATAGGCAGTATGCTGGCCCAGTCACTTTTCAGGGTAGAATGGCACTCACTGTCCAAAAGCGTGAGGCTAGCTGTACCCTCAGACCTTTCTATTCGCCCCAAAATTTTATTGCTAATCTTAACTGCTTTCCAACAGAAAACAATACTATTTTCTTTTTATTTAAGAACATCTTTTTAGCCAAGTTTTGAAATACAGTTCTGTGTTATTGCATCTCTTAAAAACATGACTCATTCCATATTAAGCTAGTCTTAATACCTCATTACATTTTAAAATACTGAGAAGATCTGTATTTGAAATCTTGTTGCATTCTGTCCTAATTTTCCCTCCCCACAAAGTATATCAAACGCAGAATTGTACAGTCTCAAGAGCACGCTATTTTGTTCCGTAATAATAAAAGATACTTAACTGCTACGTGGAGCATCAAGAAATGGTCTTCAGTACTTTCATAAGAGCTGCTCTCACTACAGAGATGGGACGTATTTTACTATCCCAACTTTTTCAGAACAGTTACTTATCTTTTAATTAGAATTATACTGAAATACTAATACAGTTAAGAGACTGGTAAGACAAGTTTTCCATCTTCCCAAAGGTAAGTATTACTATGAGGTGTGTTGTTTTTTTTTCCTTGTGGACTCTGTAGATAAAATGGTGACAGTAGGTGACCTGAAAACAATTTTTATTTTTCCCCCAAACACCTCTGCCTTGGGTTATGGATACAGGGTTCAATTCTGCAAGGTACTAAGTGCCAAACACTCAGTCCAGCAAAGCACTTAAGCTAAAGTACATCTCTAATGTTCAGCATGTGACTAGTCACATTGAAGTTAATGGCACTACTCAGATATTTATAGTAATGCACAAGCTTAAGTATGAGGCTTGATCGGGATCCTTATGCTCAGTACCTTTGTAGGATTGAGTCCCAAGTATGTCTGATCCTTCTATTTACGGATCCAGCAATACTTGTGGGGTGGTTTTTTTTGTAGTGTCAGTGGTCTGTCAAGATTCTCAGTCAGAAACAAGAGTATAAAACACAAAAATCTCATAATTTCTCTAATTTGTGCTTTTCTAATTTAAACCTGATTCGATGTACACCCTGTGCAAAAGTAAGTAACTATGTTAACAGCATGTACATAAGTAAGCTAAAATGCATTTTCCTTTTTAAGGAAAAATCTTGAAATTAAATTAATGGACATTACATCATTTTACAGTATTTCACTCTAGCGAAGCAAAAATTGCTGTAATCTTCAGATAGATACTCCTCATTCAACTGTAATGTTGCTGAGAACCTCCAGAGAAAGCAATGAAGGAGGTGGCTCAATTTAACAAACAATTCCCACTAAGTGAAGGGAGTTGAGTCTGTATTACTACTTACCCTAGGAGCCTGAAACTTCACAGCCCCCCCTTTGAGGAAGTGAAGCAGGTACATATTTACTCAAGGACTCGCATAGTTCATGAATGTGTCAAGCACAAAATTCAGGACTCCTAGTCCCCTCTCTAATCACTAGATCATATGGGTTTGTCAATATAAGATCATAATAAACTAACTTTTCTTTTTTGCTATTTAATAGGCTACCCATCTTACTTGAGAAAGGATATGCAGTGTTCAAAGTGCATCTTGACTTTAATTTAAACATTTGGTATAGTTCCAGATTACATTCTCATAGGGAAAT